GAAACTGTGTATGGAGTCAGCCTCCACCACATCACTTCCTAATTCATTCCATTTGTCAACCACTCTGACACTAAAAAAGTTCTTTCTAATATCTCTGTGGCTCATTTGGGCACTCAGTTTCCACCTGTGTCCCCTAGTGCGTGTGCCCCTTGTGTTAAATAGCCTGTCTTATCAACCCTGTCAATTCCCTTGAGAATCTTGAATGTGGTGATCATGTCCCCCCCCCTAACTCTTCTGTCTTCCAACGAAGTGAGGTTTAATTCCCGTAGTCTCTCCTTGTAGCTCATACCTCTCAGCTCGGGTACTAGTCTGGTGGCAAACCTTTGAACCTTTTCCATTTTAGTCTTATGCTTGACTAGATATGGACTCCATGCTGGAGCCGCATACTCCAGGATTGGTCTGACATATGTGGTATATAATGTTCTGCAAGATTCCTTACGCAAGTTTCTAAAGGCCGTTCTTATGTTAGCCAACCTGGCATATGCTGCTGCTGTTATCCTCTTGATATGAGCTTCAGGGGACAGGTCTGGCGTGATATCAACCCCCAGGTCTTTCTCTCTCTCTGACTCTTGAAGTATTTCATCTCCCAAATGGTACCTTGTATCTGGTCTCCTGCTTCCTACCCCTATCTTCATTACATTACATTTGCTTGGGTTAAACTCTAACAGCCATTTGTTCGACCATTCCTGGAGCTTGTCCAAGTCTTCTTGAAGCCTCAAGCTGTCCTTCTCTGTCTTAATCCTTCTCATAATTTTGGCGTCGTCAGCAAACATTGAGAGGAATGAGTCTATACCCTCTGGGAGATCATTTACGTATATCAGAAACAGGATAGGTCCAAGTACAGAGCCCTGTGGGACTCCACTGGTGACTTCACGCCAGTCTGAGGTCTCACCCCTCACTGTAACTCTCTGCTTCCTATTGTTTAGGTACTCCCTTATCCACTGGAGCGCCCTACCAGTGTACTCACCTAATTGTGCTTGCGGGGGTTGAGCTCTGGCTCTTTGGTCCCGCCTCTCAACCGTCAATCAACTGGTGTACAGATTCTTGAGCCTACTGGGCTCTATCATATCTACATTTGAAACTGTGTATGGAGTCAGCCTCCACCACATCACTTCCTAGTGCATTCCATTTACTAACTACTCTGACACTGAAAAAGTTCTTTCTAATGTCTCTATGGCTCATTTGGGTACTCAGCTTCCACCTGTGTCCCCTTGTTCGCGTCCCTCCAGTGTTGAATAGTTTATCCTTGTTTATCCTTATCCTTGTTTTGTTTAGTGTGTGTGTGTGTGTGTGTGTGTGTGTGTGTGTGTGTGTGTGTGTACTCACCTAATTGTGCTTGCAGGGGTTGAGCTCTGGCTCTTTGGTCCCGCCCCTCAACTGTCAATCACCTGATGTACAGATTTCTGAGCCTACTGGGCTCTATCATATCTACATTTGAAACTGTGTGTGTGTGTGTGTGTGTGTAATTACCTAAGTGTAGTTACAGGATGAGAGCTACGCTCGTGGTGTCCCGTTTTCCCAGCACTCTTTGTCATATAACACTTTTAAACTACTGACGGTCTTGGCCTCCACCACCTTCTCACCCAACTTGTTCCAACCGTCTACCACTCTGTGAAAGTGAATTTTTTTTATATTTCTTCGGCAGCTTTGTTTAGTTAGTTTAAATCTATGACCTCTTGTTCTTGAAGTTCCAGGTCTCAGGAATTCTTCCCTATCAATTTTATCTATTCCTGTTACTATTTTGTACGTAGTGATCATATCGTCTCTTTTTCTTCTATCATTTAGTTTTGGCATATTTAATGCCTCTAACCTCTCCTCGTAGCTCTTGTCCTTCAGTTCTGGGAGTCACTTAGTAGCATGTCTTTGCACCTTTTCCAGTTTGTTGATGTGCTTCTTAAGATATGGGCACCACACAACCGCTGTATATTCCAGCTTTGGTCTAACAAAAGTCGTGAACAATTTCTTCAGTATTTCGCCATCCATGTATTTAAAAGCAATTTTCAAATTAGAAAGTGTAGCATAGGCTCCTCGCACAATGTTCTGAATGTACTCACCTAGTTGTACTCATCTAATTGTGCTTGCGGGGGTTGAGCTCTGGTTCTTTGCCCCCCCCTTCTCAACTGTCATTCAACTGGTGTACAGATTCCTGATGTACACCAGTTCCTGATGTCCTGATGATGAGTGTGTGTGTGTGTGTGTGTGTGTGTGTACTCACCTATTTGTGCTTGCGGGGGTTGAGCTTTGGCTCTTTGGTCCCGCCTCCTGTGTGTGTGTGTGTGTGTGTGTGTGTGTGTGTGTGTGTGTGTGTGTGTGTGTGTGTGTGTGTGTGTTTGTTTGTTTGTGTGTGGGGGGATGAGGGGGGGGTGACTGCTGTCTGGGTCAGCTGGCAGCATATTCCTGCGAGGTGGGCAGAGAGTACCGGACGAGTCAGTAATCTGAGGGCAGTTGACCCCGCAAGGTCCTCTCTCGAGTCCGCTCTCCTGACCTGCTTGTGACCTGACTTGTCTTTGTCTAGTACGAACGAACACTGCAATCTTCCAGACTCCAAAACGTACAATTGTTATCCTTATTCTCTTTCTCTAAGCTCATTATCTTCCTCGATTCATGTTCCCTGTCTTCTTCAAGGGCAGAGAACCCACTTAAACTTTATCTCGCGAAAGTAAGCACTGTTGTGTCCTTCTTACACTATAATGGACCATTTGACAGCAGCACATCAGGCCCTATCTCACCATCATAGCCAGTCACGTGTACTCGCTGAGGACGCTAGACGATGCTGCCACACAAGTGGCGACGTCTTGCCTACATCAAGTGTGACGAAGACCACCCCGCCACACAGGCCGCATCGTGAGCCCGAGGGAAACACTGTCCAGCTATCAACCTGCAGTCAGTGTGGCTGCCTGGCTGACCAGACTTATTTACACCTCACTAGACCTACTGACTCCAATGCCCGGGAAGCCCCAGTCAAACGTAGCCTTCTGAGTGATCAAGTGCAACTCCTCCACCACACAGAATCATACAGCCAGAATCTCAACCACAATCACTATTACTGCCAATGTAGTCGCAAGTTCCACGGTGAGACGCAGGTGGGTAGTGTGCTGTGCATTCTGTTAATTAATTTAGTTTATATCATTTATCTAAGTTAGTTAGTTGTAATTAGTTACTTGCAGTCCCCGTGGCGCAGTGGTAAAGCACTCGCCCGGCGCTTCGCAAGTGCTTTGGCCTGGGTTCATATCCTGGCCGGAGAGGATTGACTAGGCGTCAATCCTTAACTGTACCCTCTGTTCACTCAGCAGATAGCAGTAATTTAAGATAGCAAGGTAGCAGTGAATAGATAAACCATTTGGCGGGTCGAATTCCAGGGAAAATTAGGATTAAGGACCTGCCCGAAACACTATGTATGCTAGTGACTGTACAAGAATGTAAGAACTCTTGCATATATAATTAATAATAATAATACAATAAAGTTACTTTAGATAATTTATTATGTACCCCATACCCATCCTACTGGCGGTGAAAGAAAAGGTTACAGAGGCACATAATGGGCTCAGGGACTGAACCTCAAAATTCATTTGGGGTTCAGTCCCTGAGCCCATTATATGCCTCTGTAACCCAAGAATGTACAAGTACAACCAAACAAAAAATGTACAATGTACAACCCTCTGTACAAGAATGTAACAACTCTTGTGTATATATATATATATATATATATATATATATATATATATATATATATATATATATATATATATATATATATATATATTTAAAAAAAAACAAAAAACTTTCCACTACCGGCTGCAGATGTCAATATGTTTGTTCCTAATACCATAATTATAATAATAATAATATTTTATTTACAAGAAGGTACAATGGGTTGGCGAGATTACATTGGAGTGATATTTTTACATTCTTGCAAAGCCACTAGCATGCATAGCGTTTCAGGCAGGTCCTTAATCTACCATATCAGGTAAGGTGAAAAAGTATTGATTGATGAAGATCAAGCCACCCAAGAGGTGACACGGGCATGAATAGCCCGTAACAATGGGAAAAAGTATATTGTAGCAAGGTTTTATATCCACAATATAAATTGACAGAGGTGATTACACTGGTAAAGATGATGAATTTAATTAGTCTGAAGTACCAATATTGGGGAAGTGGGTTGTACAAGAACAGTGTGAGTTTGAAGCACAAGATAGGAAACTATGAGGATGTAATTAAGTACTTTTTTGGTTTTACTTTTAAACAAGGCAGAGGTTGGAACATTATTTAATTCATCAGGGAGTGAGTTCCAAAGACTGGGTCCTTTTATTTGCATGGAGTGTTTGCACGGTGTTTATATGTTTATATGGAGTTTATATATATATAACCCAATATTAAGATTGTTATAAACAACTTCTTAGTGCTTTGGAATTAATAAACTGCTAAATGTAAACAAAACTCCAATAATTGAGGAAAGATGTGCAGACTTCATAAGGAACTGTGTAACTGGTGAATTCTGGTCATGCCAGGGAACTGACCTGGCAAGAATACTGACCTGACCAGGGAACTGACCTGGCAAGAGTACTGACCAGACCAGGGAACTGACCTGGCAAGAATACTGACCTGACCAGGGAACTGACCTGGCAAGAGTACTGACCAGACCAGGGAACTGACCTGGCAAGAGTACTGACCTGACTGTCCTTCGTGTATGCATCAATTACACCGCCCCCTTCCTCTCTACTTGCAGGTAGTGGTACCGAGAAGGTGCCTCCTGCTGGTGTTGACGCTACTGCTGCTGCTGCTGTTGCTGCTGCTGGTGCTGGTAAGGGCGACGACATGCCTCAGCACTCGGGTATGGGCCCCATGGTAGTTTAGTTCGTTCTCGTGATTTCCCACTCCGTCAAAAATCCAGCCTCCTAACCTAACGTAAATGGACGAGTCCAAGCAACCTTCTAAACTTATCGAGTCCGATACATAAAAAACGTAGATATTCTTGAGCGATTGTTTTTAAAGTAGGTTACGTTTGTAACGTTGGTTACGTTAACCTCAAGCTGTTGCACTCATTCATAATTTAAATTATTAAGATTTTGATTTAAGTCTGGCCATCATACTCCAGTGACACATGGTACATCTTAAGATGCTCAGGTAATACTAATATTTCCTAGAATAGCTTCACATTGAATATCACGTGTTTGATAGGCATTCAACACGTGATATCAATAACATAAGAGTACTTAATAGTCGGGCCCTATACAGGACTCTCCCAATATGTCGCGTTTTTCTCCGGAATTGTTGAAAATGCGACGTATTAGTAAAAATTAAAGTACCGTAATAGTGACGGTTTCCATATACCGGTTTGCCGCTCTGTGTTGAACATATATATTGGGATTACATAACTAAAATTCAACTTTCTGGATAGGTTGTTCCGGACAGTGGTAACGATGAAGATAGCATGGAGCTCCAGGCTTCAGGCTATCTGGAGGTGGGTGACGGTGGACCCCGGCGGGTCTCTGAACACACAGCGTCCCTCCTGCCCGCCCTCGCTGTCTACTACCACTCTCATGCCATCACCATACACCAACCTGACAACTGTAAGTTTCACCTTACGTTACAAATGTCTAAGATTATGTATTTATCTATTTGTAATTGTGATCCAAGCATATATGTTGCTTTATCATATCTACACTTGAAGTTACATGGCCTTCTGTAACCATCATCTTTAGTTCTGCCCGAGTTGTGTAAATCACTTCAATGAAATCACCAATACAGTACTTAAGATTATGTGTCTGTCCACTTTGTCTATGGCTTTGAGTATACTGTATGAGGAAATAAACATCTGACCGATGTCTTCTGAATTTATTTTCTGCCTTATTTTGGAATCGTCCAGGTTCAAAAAATTTTTTTTTTTTTAGTTTAGTTCATTTATTATGCACCCCATATCCATCTTGTAGACGGTAGTGGAAAGGGTTACAAAGGCACGCAGCAATTTGGTAAACCTGGACGATTACAAAAATAAGACGGGGAACTAAATTTAGAAGACAATCACTCTAAGACATAATTTAAAAATCTTAGAATACAGGAAACTGCAAAAGGCCTATTGTCCCATACAATTAGGCAGCTCTTAATATCTACCTAAACTCGTTCGTATAAATGTCTAACCTACGCTTGAAACAATATAGTAATTTCACATCTATTATATTCCCATTTAATTTGTTCTATAAACTTACAACCCAATTTACAAACCGGTATTCACCCCATGTCTTTTCTGAATCTAAATCTATCCACTTTATATGCATATTGCATCTTGTTGATATATTTAAAACCTTATTTATATCCCTTTCTTATACCATTTTATTATTTATGTACTTAGGTTGTGTCCACACTTGTTCAGTTGCTCTTTGTCTTTTAAGAATGCTAATTAAGCTATTTTAAGGAAACTTCGTAAGGAAGATTTGTAATTCCTGGGAATAACTTTGCCATCCTTCTCGATGGTATAAATATATATATTACTAGATGGGGTACCCGGCTGTCAGAGGTCTCTCTCCCACCTCCCCCTTTCTCCCAGTCTCTCCTCCCGTGCCTCACCTCTCCTCCTGTGCCTCACCTCTTTTGCTGTGCCTCATCTCTCCTCCCGTGCCTCACCTCTTTTCACTGTCCCTCATCTCTCCTCCCGTGCCTCACCTCTTTTCGCTGTCCCTCATCTCTCCTCCCGTGCCTCACCTCTTTTCGCTGTCCCTCATCTCTCCTCCCGTGCCTCATCTTTCCTCTTGTGCCTCATCTCTCCTCCCTCGTAGTTCATGATACCTCCTGATTCCATGTATGACTAATCATCCTGTGAGATGGGGGATATAGATGAACTTATAGCTATTTTTTTTTAGCTACACTCTGTAATCTTTCATATAGAATAGGGTAGGAGCACACTGATGTTTATATCTAAGTGTGTTAATAAATAGAATCCCTTCACCACCTTTCTCAAACCACTATCCTCCCTCTCTATCAACATATACTCCTCGTCTTCCCTTTCTATACTGTATCTGTCAAAGAATGTAATATTATACCTGTCCTCTTACAAATTACATCTGAATTTGGCCGTTTACCTGTATGGCAGAAACTAGACATAATATAAAAATGAACAAAAACTTGAAAATAATTTTTTTTTTCAAAAAACTAAGTTAAGTCCTCTGGTAGGTTAGGAGGGCAGGAAATTCTCCTAAAGTTTCAAAACGTCCTGAAAAACGTTAATTGAAAGTTTTCTCTCCTAACCTTACCAAGTAAGCCAGAGGACTCAAACAGAAAACGGGGCAGTACATCACTTTCGTGAGCCGATTTAATTTCAAATTACAGTATGTCCATTTTTGGCCATAACGCGCATATGAGCAAAAAGCAACGCTAATTTTAAGAGGACGGGTTGTCTGCTTGCTTTAGCCTGGGGTTTATATCCTGGCCGGGGAGGAGTGACCGGGCGCCAATCCTTAACTGAAGCCGCTGTTCACCCAACAGTCAATTGAGTGGTTTAGAAAAGCGGGGTCAAAGAGTTTGGTTCTGCAGCCATAAATAATAAATACACGCACACAAACACACATTGAACATAGCAATTACATTTTACCTCATGTAATGTATCCTTTCCAGATGACATTGGACTAGATCAGCAAAGTTGGCACTTCAAGTTAGTCCAGCGATACAAGACAATGCCAAGTATCGACATTTTGTTGCACACTTCTGTTGAAAAATGTCGGCTAATCGTTTGCTCTGGGAACGGCTCCAAAACTATTTACAACCTTTCTTATTTCAAAAATGCTCGTCAGAACTCTTCCAAAGACACTGTTGGGAAAGAAAACATATTTAACTTTGAAAATAATATGATTACAACAACTACTGGGGAATGGCGGGTAACTGATGTGACCAAATATTTGACTGATTGGCTGCTTGATTTCTCAGAATTGTCAGTGGAGTTTGAAACGAGTACATTATTTCCTGATGTAAGGCAAATTAATCCCCTCCCACAGCCTGTTTTGTGTGTTCACGAGTATAATACTCAACAATCTAGAGAAAGTGATCGAATAAAAACCACTTTAAAGCATTTTATGGCGAGCAAAATGGAATTAATTACGAGAAATTATTTGAGCCTAAGTGACAATGGAGCCATTACTTTAGCGACAGGATATCAAAGGATACGACGAGGAACCTCAGGAGAATGCCAGGTAAGTACAAGCAAGTGTAAATGACAGATGAAAGAAGTAAATGTTTATACAATTGTAAGGAGTACATCCGGCATCACGTACATGCATGTACTGTAATATATATGAAGTTGTAGACTAAATCTGTGCTACTAATAAATTATAAACTTTTCCACTACCGCATACAGGACGACTATGGGGTGCATGATAATTGAACTAAAAACTAATAAATTGGATCAAATTTCAGTTAACCATTGCCCAACTGGCTTTTTGGTGAGGCCTGGCCCCCCCCCCCTCCAACCTGTCCTTAGGCTATGCTCGTCTTAAACTGCTGCTGATCACAAGACTCGTTCACCGATTTAACGTACTGTCTATTACCTCTAAAAATTTGCTCATCATAAGCTATGAAACAGAGATGGTTCCCAATACTTCGTAACCTATGAAACAGATGGTTCCCATTACTTCATAACTTATGAAACAGAAATGGGCCCCTCCCCCATTACCAGCAGACCATCTTATTTTATTAGATGGCAACTATAAAGCTTCATACAGAAGAAAATAAGTCCTGCAAATACTAGATTAATGACACTAACATCTAACATGCTTTTGGACCTCCCCTCTCCCTTGTGTAACATGGCCCACACCAGAAATCAGAGCTAGAGCTGTGATAAGAAGTGAAGTTTGTTTATTGTAGGAATGGTAGCTATATTGCACTTGATGATGTATTCTAACACTCCCAATTACTTTATAGATGATTATATACAACACACTAATGACTATACAATTAAAATACATGTTGGGCCTTTGGTCTAGATGTCTAGAGTGTTGGTGTCCATGGAGGAGCTGGGTCTTCACCAAGTGGTTTACCCAATTAACATCAAACTCAAGTTTTGTCTGGGTTCCTGCCACGTTCTCGACCATCCGACTATCTTCTCGACCAACGCACTCCTCAGGGCCAAGTTTAAGTGAGTATCTTCAGCACTTCTAATTCTTCTTTACTCATGTATTTGATCAAACTAGATGGATGGGATTTAGGTCCAGGCCCTACTGTAGTGCTCAGTGAGCATGTTTACTACTTGGGTTGTAGTGTTTTTCAGCATTATGGAGAAGCATGCCTCCTCATGCCATTCACATATACTGTATTTGGATAATTTATTTGCATTTCGAAGCATTAAGAAATGATAGCCATCTCGCCCTTTTGAGCATCAGCAGTAAAAAATATTTATACTACTGTATACACTTTTTTTCTTTATCTTTTATGGGGGATGGGGTTATAACAGTTTTGTGTCAAGCTGGTCTAAAAAAAATGTGCCAGAGTATAGATAGCGAAACATTGGTACGTGCATTATAACTTATTCGTAGCATCAATGAACATAGGAAAAATCTGAAACTTTTATAATTTATCATACATGAATTTGTTATGTTAATGTTCACACAAGATTGGTCTACAGGTATATAAATGTAAAAAGGAAATAAACATTACTTACATCCTTCTGATAATTTGCAAATTCGATTGAGGTAACCTAACCTAAACTGTACATTGTTTTGTCCTGCAAATAAGTTCAGGCGACAACTATCAAAGTGTCTGAAACTTGGTGGGAAAAAGTGCCGAGAAGATACTGTGTTACTTGATCCCTTTCTTCTTCTATTTGTTTTGTTTTTTCAAACTATATCATCAAATAACTGCTATTAAACATAACACTGCATACTTGTAATGCTCAAGTTCATTAACAGTTGAACTGTAACTATTAAGTGTGCTACAGTTCTAGCATTGCCCATTTTGAAAATACTGTAGTGTAAATTTTATAGCTAGGTAATATCTTAACAGTTGCATTGTAATACTTTTCATCTATACTTGTAAGGTTCCCAAAGTACAGGAATTGAACAAGCCATAACATGCTTTTCATTCATTTTACATTTAAGTTTTCCCAGTCAACTTGGTACACTGCTACATATTTTCTCACCACTAGTACCCTGCTGCTAAGTTCTTTTAAAATAAAAAAAAATAAATACATGTATATATCTGGTTGGCTCTGTACTCCAATTTACTGTATTGTGATCTTGTATTTTAGTGTTTCTGACTATCTTTATTTTGCCGAGTAGCTACATAGTAACCCTCTCCTTTCATCAGGTTTCAAGAAGGGTCAAGCCAGGTGCCATCGCCACATTGCACACCCATCCGCTATCAGTACCAGACTTTTTTTGTGTGGCAGGAGGATCGGCTTCAGAAGATCAACGTTAGTGATCTGGATGTCTCTGTATGTGGTTGCCGGTGAATTTCCAAAAGCAAATTTCAACACAAGAATGATAGGAAAGATGGATCTAATCAAGACATTATTACACAAAATTCTTAAAACTGCACATTGCTATTCATCATTTGCTTCCATTACGGTTTAGGATTTGACATGTAAACTGTACATAAGCACATTGTTGATATTTTATTCCTTTGTCAATAGAGAAGGGTTATATATTATTTATAAATGTCTTCCTTTTTATATTTATCATTTCTGTCATTCCTTGCTAAGAAATCTCCCTACAAATGCAAAGCAAATTAGGCAGGCTGACAGACAAGTTCCTGGTAAGAACACTTGCTGAATATACTTTCAGGGTAGATTTCTTGCCCAAATGATAATACTCTTTAAAACCATAACTAACAAGAGATATAAGAATGACAATTGTAGGGCCTATCAGAGCTGAAACTGAAAAGCAATATCGAGTAATATTCGAGATTAAATTGTGATGAACATGAAGTAATTTTAGTTTATTTTTGTCAGACATGTGTGGTCTTTATAAAATAGAAAATTTTGAGTGCAAAACAGTGTACTATCAAAAGGGGTAGTGAAATAATCATTGTTTAACTGATTTTTGTAACCTATTATCAATTGACTTTATTTCATGGAAAGTAGAGATAGTGGCTACCTTGTGTAGCTTCTGGGAATCAACAGCCCTTGGCCCGGTCTCCGACCAGGCCTAAATGGTGCTTAGGCTTTTATAATAATTTTATTACAGGGTATTTCCCTACTACAAACAGGTTATGTTCTGAAAATTTGTTCAGAGCATGGAACTAGAATTCCCAATGGTGCAAAGCTATACTAAGGGGATGTGTTCCTAGACAATCAAAAATGCTCAAAATTAATATTTTTGTGACATGATATATAAAACACTGCATATTATTTACTTTGAATGATAGACATTGTCCTGCTTGTCAAAGGTAGCCATTTTTTGAAGATTGAATAGGTTTAATTACAGGAATAAATAAATGGAAATGTGTGTGTGTACACCGTATCGAGTCGCCCATTTGTTATGTGCCGCCCGAGTGAACACTTCACGAGAGCTGCCAGTCTTTACATTGTCATCTTCTCCAGAAACTTCACTCCCACCCATCCACTTCTAACTCCCACATCCACCTGTCTAAGAAACACACCCAACACTCTCCCAAACTCTACCCGACACCCTTCCAGTCTCCACCCCAACACCTTATCCACACCCCCTTGACTCCTTCCTGGGTGGCTTCTTACAGGCCGAATAATGACCAAGACTGAGCTGACCGAGTGTGACTGCTTGACATACTGAAATTATCTCAATGTCTACTATACAACAGCAATGGTAGGGGAAATAAGTGAAGGAATAAACAAAAATTTTAGACAATGGCTGTGGATGGCATCTAAGGAAACAACAATAATTGCACCAACACTTACAAATGAAATTACCTTCCTCCATTAGAACCTCGAGACAAAAAAAAAAAAAAAAAAAAAAGAGGATTAGTTCTTTATGCGAGTGATCACAGTACTGCTGACTGGCAGTACGAGTTAGTGTGACTAGTGGATCATGTTGACATTTTGATTTTTATATTTCTAGTGGGATTGACACACACACAAACAAGGACTTGGGAGGCAGTTTGGTTGGATGAGTGTTTATATAACATGAATGAGTGTTATGTCCTGCAACATTATAACCCATGCACACTACTAATGTGCACCTTATAAATGATCACAACTTTGATGAATGAGTGTTTATATAACATGAACTTCCTGTATAGGAGGTTTTTCAGTCTGTACAGAGCCAGCAGTAATTTGTAAAAAACCTAGCATAGAGGACCTTGAAGCAGTGAAAAATAAATTTCTGGTTACTGGCTTACCATTGCACAATAATGAATGATTAGGTACATGAACAAAGGAGATTCTAGTCTAGTCTGAAAACTATCTCGGTGACTGTTTACATACTAACAACTTTGGTTTGTGAGATTTTTCATCTCACAAACCAAAGTTTTTAGTATTGTAAACGTGAAGCAAACATTTTGAAGAATGAATTTACACTTATGTCAATAGGTGACGTGGGAATGTGGATTGATGTAGCAATTTTGACAAGATACTTGAGCTTCTCAGTCTTAATTTTAAAATATGCTTTAGCTGGAGAAATAATGCTCCCATGGAGTTTACAAGAGTTTTCTAAAAGTGTACCTTTGAAAGAGGTATTCCTTAAAACTGATTTAAAGTTCTTGGTATATGTATAAATAGGGGTAACTTCACAATTACCTTTCACAGGCACTGACTTAATCTGAAGGAATGACCTTGTGGGAGACAGCATTAGGAAAGACAACCCAATAAAGCTCACTAAACCAGAGGTGATTAAAGACACAATTAAGCAATTATTGAAAAAAGGCATCCGCTTGGGAGACTACTTTGCACCATTTGTGTTGCAGGACATGCAAACACTCCTAAATATTGTTAGGATGCCAATACAAAAGCAAAAAGACATGCTGCCTGAGTAACATCAAAGGCATCAGATTTACCAAGAAGTTTATCAAAGGACAAGCAATTCAGAGGGACATTGGGAAACAACTTATGATAATGATGAAAATGAGGACATTCATTTAAGAAAAGTGAGATAATGCAATTTTGGCTATAAGGAGCAGGGTGTTGTTCCATTAAGTGCCCAGGAGTTAAGTGCATGTAACTGAGGTTGAAGAGTAGTACAGTGAGCCATTCTCCTTTTAACTCCTAAAATTACTCGACGCATCCTGACACACACTATTTTTGTTGGCTAGTGAACTAACCATTTACTCAGTCTGGTAATGATGATTATAAGGATATCAGTATCTTTCTGATATCCATTTGCTGTACAGTTCTTGCTACAAACAATAAGAAATATATACAATACAGTATTAATGAAAATTAAATACAAAAAAATGATTTTCCCAAGTACAGGGCTTTTAATAGTAAAATAAAACCATTGCAAGGTCACCTGCCTTACAAAACATGAAGAGAGGGGTTCATTAACATTGAAATTCATTTACAACTATATATACTAACAACAAGTCTAACATGTATGGAAAGGAAAGCTATTGTGTTGCTATTATATAAAAGATTGTTGATACAAGTTTTCATAACCACACACAATAATCCATTATATGATGTTAAATATAGAAAGCGTGCAGATGTATATTTACAAAAGAAACACAATCTATTATTCCTGACAAAGCAAGAAACAAAACTGAGGAATCTGAGAAAAAAATTATCTGCACTATGTAAAAATAGTCACTTTACTCCACTTCAATCTTTTTTTACTTACAACTCCATATCATTCCATATTGTGTGTTTATAACCTCTTTTTATAGAGTTGTTAATATGTTCATCACATGTCAGTCTTCAAGCACTTCACTATATAAGAATATATTTAGGTGAAAGTAAGACCAGCTTCCTTGTAGGTATTAAAGATCTTCTCAATGGCGTTAACATAAGCAGCTGTACGCAGATCAATGCCTAGGTTGTACTTGATTGCTGTTCTCATGATGGCCTGCAGGGTTGAAGATATAAAATGGGTAATAATTGGCAACATACATTAATAAAACTTTACACATTTCTTTTGTAACACGTCAATGAACATTAATTAATTAAAAATAATTATCTGTTGCCTATACATATTCCTAGAATGCACCAACTGGATCAAGTGTGGGAACTGCCTCAATATAATCTATCTTTATTTAAGAATAAGAATTACTAGGGCATTTACAAACTACACACATTTAAATTTAAAGCTTTAAATCTTACACAGTTCTTTAAAATATACCTCACTATGTGGTATGTGTGTCACTATCACTGAGGGTGATTATACACGAGAAGAACATTCCTGATTGTCATGCACATTTGAAAGGTTAATTAGAAACGGAAGAATAACATACAACTTATGGCCTGAGAAAAGGCTCAATGTATGGGATACAAGTGAAAACCCCTTAGAAAAGAAAATGAGAAATATGAATGCACTGGACAATATTATAGAAGGATCATTAGAGATTACTATGGTCAGGTCTTTAACAGGCATACAAAGTGCAAATCAAAGGAGCTGCCATTTTGTTGTTACCAGAAATGCAAATAAGAGTCACATTTAAGGTCCACAGTTCATGGAAACTAAGAAATTAATAAATATACCATAGTATGAGGTATGGGGGAAACACCATAATATTTTCCTTATAGAGATACTGCCCTTCCATAGTTAACCGGCACAAAGATATCTCCTGTAAAATCTCCTTCACTATTGCAATCATGAGCAATTTGTATTCCAAACCTAGCGTCTCATCAACCTTACGAGGGGGATTTAACGTTAAAAGTAAAATTACATTCAAACATAACACTAAAAACTGCTAAAGAAATATTTGAAAACTTACCCTGGCAGATCGCTCCATGGTATAATCCAGACCAGAATGGACAATGTCCTTTTCCGAGGCACCCTGTGTTATAAATAAAACGAGTATGAATTTTTAGAACATGCTACATATTGACCAGCAGACCTACAAAAATTACAAAAGTAAATTTAAGCCATACTGTTATATGCATGTTAAGAAAACCACTTCTCAATACAAACTTAATCTTGGATCATACGTCAATTGATTTAAATGTTTCTGCCCATACACGAGACTAAAGACAACACGGGGCGGGGACGAGGAATCTACACCCTCAAGATTAGCAAAAATTTAATCAATTTCTTTAGAATCTTTAAATTTCTTAAGAAATATCAACAATTTCTCTATCACTTACTTCCCCTAATTTAGTTGCAGGAATTTATTCCGTTAACTTACGATAAACATAAAAAACAAGCATATCCATTATAGCACATACAATCGGCAACTACATCCCCTTAGTGAGAAATGGCTCTACCTATTTAAAAGATTAAAAATATTTGATCATTTAAATTCGAAGTTTTGTATGTAACAATACACTCGCACTACTTTGACTTTATGAAGAGAAGTAGTGGGACTTGGCGAGATGTACTGTATACGCAACTTTCGACTAGCCGACAGGTGGGAAAATTATGATCATTGCAAGTCATTGGTTTGAACGTGTACTTGCACCCCCATACACCACTGATTGCACTCTTATTATCATTATGATTATCATCATTCCTATGGAATAAGGGCTCAGAGCCGAGTGTTGGAAAAGACACTCATTCAGTGTTCCCACTCCAAGTACAATAATTATACTCCAAGTGTATAATTTTTTGTTTTAATTATATCAAAAACACAATATAAACAGTTACAGAGTAACAAATCAACACTATAGGGCAGCGCTAATTGAATGTGCTGGTGTTTATGTTTACATTAAAGAAGGCTTTTTTTAATGATACAAATCAAAATATTCAGAAACACATTCAACTGTTTTCCTAAAAAAAAAAAAAATTATTTTTAAAAATTTGCAAAACTAATCAAAAGTGGATGGGGATCTGATATAACGAGAGGCCTACATACTGTATATGAAGTATAGATATGACTATGTCATTTTGTGCCCCCACTCACTAGCAATGATATTTATGATTTTCCTCTTCTATGACCAAATTAATGAATAATTAAGAGCATAATGATATTTTTCAATACAAATACCTTATACTTTATAATATTGAACATTCTATATGTTTTAAAAATTTTATTTTAATAATGAAGGGCTCTTTAATTAATTTCTATATTATTAACAGTTCTTTAAGTTAAGGGTGGGTTCATCCACTGAAGGCAAATGCTTCCTTTGCATGCTATCTTGAGGTTATCTAGAGATGATTTTGGGGTTTTTTAGTGTCCTCGTGGCCCGGTCCTCAACCAGGCCTCCACCCCCAGGAAGCTGCCTGTGACAGCTGACTAACACCCAGGTACCTATTTTATTGCTAGGTAACAGGGGCATAGGGTGCTGCTAACAATCTATGACAAGTGTAATAATATATGGATCAGATGTAGCGCTATGGGCTACAAGACCAACCTAATGTGTGCAAAACTACCGGTATGTTTTGTGGATGTACATGCCAACTCTCCCCTACATATATATCACTTTTTCATCTTATTACAGTTATTCTTTCATATTACTTTTAATAAATTGCAAAGTTGCCTGCAGACAATTCATTCTTCTTGCGGAAACTCTCGTGTATTTTCTCCCAGACTGAATAATCCATGAACTTTCATATATAAAAGTACCAGTACATAAATTACAATTCTTACCATACAGATGATGATTACAATTTTAATATATCAGTTTATAAGTCCTCAGATAATGTAATTAAAGAGAAATGAGGATACTGTACATTAATTTAAAATAAAATTAATGAAAAATTTAAAGCATGACAAATTGTAAGATAAAAAGTTGGCATGCAACATGCATTTAAAAAAAACAAGTTCTTACGTATTAAACAAACACAGTACAGTTACTAATTTCAAGACCATAAATGACTTCCCAGCTAATCAGGATTCATGGAAAAGCTAAACGCAATATTAGAGATAGTGGCAAGGGCACTAAATACAAGAATTAAACTTTATAAAGGGAGCAAGATGCCAAGATCTTGCATAATACAAGCAAGGCCCGAAATACTGAAGAAGTAAGTAAGTAATTATCAAAAGAAGGCACCAAACCGGGAAGGCTATGTAGCACCATCAAATGCGCAAAATAATCAGAGGGCGCTAAATATCACCAAGGATGCCAATACGAGAACAAAAACGCATAAGGCGAACGATATCAAAAGTATAAATACTGAAGAATACAAAGGTTCGAACATGAAAATTACCAATAGGGCAATATAACATGTCTGTCTATAACATGCTGTTTAATAGGGGATATTAATCATAGTGATATTTGTGAAGGAAAACAAAAATAAGATGATTGGCAGATGCTAAGACACTCAACGTGGAAGGCACAGTGTGACTAATCAGCAACACAAAGAAATTATTTTCCATTAATAGTAGGATTTTATCTTTGGAAACAAGTGATAAATACAATTTAATGGCCTAATTTTTCTTCTTTAGGCTGTGCCCCCCCCCCCCCCCCCCCAAAAAAAAAAAAAAAAGTGGCAAATGTTATGAAACCCTATTCTGAACAGCCCTCAGTATCTACCTGGCGTATCAGACTGTGGTACCGCAACCTGGCCACCTGACTTGCTATGGCCTACTGAACCCAAGGAACAGAATCTCATGTACAATGAACAGCAAGGGGAGCACGGGGATCAGAGAATGACCCAAAAACCGAGAAAAACTGTCCTAAAATCAAATTGAGCAAGACAAACCATGAATCATTAAGAAGAAGATAAACAAAAAAATGCAAGCAGTAAGCAATCATCAGGCAAAACCACAGCTTGGATAACCCTCACTCATGAACTGCTAGAAACCATGGGGAAGAAGAGAAATAAAGAACGGGTATGCAACCTGTTCTCTCAAATTATATGTCACATTTTGATGTCAAAATCCCTAATGGACAAAATATGATTTACAGTATTATAAATCACAGCAGCTCACAAACTTTCAGGATTTCTATGCGTGGATTCCTCAGTTAGGTTATGTTCGGGTATGTTAGTAGACCATTTTCTGTCCATTGTGGGAACTCTGGCGTACAAGGAGCAACTAAGGGTAGATTAGAAAAATGCAATTAATTACAATAAACAGGGCTACATGGAGGAACCACAGGAAGCAAAGAACCACTTGCAGAAACCATGAAAAAGCACTGCCAGCAATGAAGACAGGAGCAAAATAGAAAGATATGCCCGTTTTCCTAACAAACCAGACACGAAATTATAAGATGTACGCATCCTGGGACAATCACATGTGAAAGACTACAGGAGAAAACTAGCACCAGAAAATAGGCAAAGGCATAACAGTGCATAGATGTTATCCAAATAGGGAAAGAAATCTCCTTATGGTACAGAGAATGTTCAAACTGCCCACTCAACCACTGGGCAGAAATATCAGACAGGAGAAGCAGCTGCTAAACTTAAAAATGCTTAAGCTAACTACATGATGAAATAAAATTTAGGCAAACTAGTTATTCCGTTCAGTATTCCAACCAATGCATGGCGTCATTCAGGATAAAATCCTTTTAGCATTTTGTTTTACATTCTACAATTGGTAGATCAATAAATTTAAGAAAGACAAGGCAAGGATTTAAGAGAAACTTTGACATGACTTAGCAGGATATCCTGATAAAGATAAGTGTGCTGATGAAACCATTCCCTTTATGAAAAGTCTGGCACAAACAACCTGAGAGGCTAAGCCAAAAACCATATAAGCAGGATGGAAACTTGTACAGGGTTGTCTCTCACTCATATGCTTCCTCCCTCCTTTCTTCCCTCTGTGGTGTTCTTACTCCTCTCCTTTCCTTTCCTTGGTGGTGTACTACCAAACATAGCTCTCCATACTGTAATCTCACATGCACATTCATACACACATATCTGTACTTGGCCAATCAAGTGAGCCTGTCACTTCAGCTCAAGTACCTGCCTGCATCTCCCCGGTCCATCAAGCAATCTTACCTACCAACCTCTACCCCATTCACCATGAATTGTGGGGTCTTTTATACTCCAAGCCCAGCCTGAGGACAGGTTTGTCTGCCCCCCCCCTCCCCCCCCAACTATCAATGTCTGTTCATAGAAGTGGGTCACAGGCCCATATATCCATTACAATTCAGTTGATTTGGCACCGATTGCAGGAATTTGTCAAATTACCTCTTGAAAACATTCACTTTTGTTATGCAAATATTTATAATATTTGGTGGAAGGAGGGTGAAGAGCCATAGGCCTCTAATGTTCAAACAGCTGATGTGAAATTATTTACAGCATTCATGAAACCGAAATTGGAGTAGGCATCAGTTATACTGTGTCCATATCTAAAAAAAAAAAGCACATTCAGTCCAATATATTAGCAGTGACATGGGGGGTCCCATGGCTTAAGTCAGAAGAGCAATGAGGACACACTGCACAGAAAAGATCACAACAAATTTAAAGAATTCAAACTTAACAATGTAATCAAAATACCTGTAATCTTATACAGGTATTTGTTAACATTTACAGCTATGTGAAGCATGCAGAATCTTCACCAAATATTTCACACAATCACTTTCAAACCTTTAGGTGCCAAATACCCTAAAAGGCCATACAAATTTATGGTACTTGGTTTTGTTATTAGTAAGAAAAGCAGATACCATTCGTATGCAAAAAAATGTACGAAAAATGCAAAATATATGCAGTCCGAGATGCTGAAAGCTAAGATTAACCAAAACCTACTTAAAGGATCTTCCCGTTCACTTCCCTGCTTTAAAATCATGATTTTTACATCTTAAATTGCAGCTGTTGCACTTGTTCAACCTGTTATCTCCAAGTAAACAAGGCTTTAGCATTAGTGATTTCTATAGCTAAATTACGTACAGAAATGCGCTCCTGGAAAGACTCGGATGGTACGATGGGAATCTTGCCACCAACACGACCAAATCGCCGCTCAAGAGACTCCTGAACAGATTCTGTTGGAGGGATATTCTTGCTCGTAATATGGATTTAATAAGTAATTATACAAGGGAGGGTTCAGGGACAGGTGTTGTATGTGGGGAATTGGTTAATGTAAGAAAATTGAAGCAAAAACATGTAATTATGTTTTGATTCGAGAGCTGCCAGTTCTCCACTTGGGTTGCTCGAATATCCCTTCTTTTTATTTTTCGATCCAATAAGTCGTTTGAGCCTTTATACCATGTGTTGCATCAGGCATAGAAATGTGATAAATATGCAACTTCTGTGCATATAGTAGATTCACTTAACGAGAACAGTACGAGTGATGCATATACATACAGCCCTCTTTAAGGCTTGTGGGTGCAGGGTAAAGCTGAAACAAAAAGCACATTTGGAGAAAAGGCTAGCAAAAATGTATACTTTGTATAACTTAATAAAACTTGAAAAGAAAGATAATCATAGCAGATAATAGGGTACAATACAACATGACTCACAGCGATGCGCTGGGTAAACTTTTCACTAGGAGTCACAGAAAAGTCTTGCTGAAAGTGTTTGGACAGGGAATGGGACACAGAGTCTGCAAAAAAATTGATTTAGTTCATCACTTCACAGCAAGGTTCATCTGAAAGCAGAATATAATAAGCACAAAAAAATCTTAATTTAATAATAATTATACTACACAATTTTACCAAACCCTTTAACAAAGGTAACTGAAAAAAAAACTAGGAGGTGGGAGGAGCAAGGGAAGCAGAGGAGGGAGAGGAGCAAGGGAAGCAGAGGAGGGAGAGTAAACTGTGGAGGAGCAGCAGCATCAACTATAATGAAAACATGTTAAAGAACTAAACGCAAACATCTTGTAATTACCCAAGTGTAGTTACAGGACGAGAGCTACGCTCATGGTGTCCCACCTTCCCAGTACTCTTTGTCGTATAACACTTTGAAACTGCCAGCACTGACGATTTTGGCCACCACTTTCTCACTTAACTTGTTCTAACTGTCTACCATTCTCTTTGCAAAAGAAATCTTTATAGTATTTTTTTCGGCATCTTTGTTTCCTCAATTCGAACCTGTGTCCTCTTGTTCGTGAAGTTGCTGGTTTCAGGAATTCCTCTGTCAATTTGGCCAATTCCTGTTAGTATTTTGTAAGTAGTGGTGATATCTCCTCTTTTTCTTCTATCTTCTAGTTTTGCCATGTTTAATGCCTCCAGTTTCCCCTCATAACTCTTGTTTTTCAATTCCGGAAGCCATTTTGTAGCATGCCGTTGCACCTTTTCCAGTTTATGTGCGAGTTGAGATTTGGACACCATACAATTGCTGCATATTCCAATTTTGGTCTCACAAAAGTCATGAACAATTTCTTTAGTATTTCACCATCCATATTATTAAAAGCAAGTATGAAGTTGAACAGCTACGCATAAACTCCTCTCACAATGTTCTTTATGTGTTCCTCTCGTGACAACTTACTATCCAAAACCATCCCTAGGTCTTGTTCTTTATTAGAGTTCTGTAATTCCTTTCCACATAATTTTGTAAGTTGTGTGTGGTCTATTTTCTCCAATTCCACATTCCATAACATGGCATTTATTCACATTGAATTCCATTTGCCACTTGATGGCCCAAGCACTTATTTTATTTAGATCAATTTGAAGGGCATTACAATCGTCTGCATCTAATATCTTCCCCACTATTTTTAGCATCATCTGCAAGCATGTTCATATAATTTTGTATTCCTTCTAGTAGTGTGTTTAGCAGACGATGAACATTACTAGTGCAAGAACTGAACCCTGTGGTACTCTGCTAGTAACACCCCTCCAGTCAGAAATACTGTCTGATCACTGCCCTCATCTGTAAGAACATTTTTCCTCCATGTCAGAAGTCTCCCTGTCACCCCTCCAGCATGTTCCAGTTTCCAGAACAGCCTCTTGTGTTGACTATCAAAAGCATTTTTAAATCCAGATAGACACAGTGAACCTCTTTCTCTTTCTTCACTTCTTTCCTATAGTATCACTGTGGCTTTATCATCAAAAGTAAGATTTATTACACAGGATCTTCCTGTTCGAAAACCACACGGTCTGTCCGTTATTATGTCATTATTCTCTAGGTGTTCAACCCATTTGGGTTAACCATTTTTTTCTAGTGGTTTGACTACCACACTTGCTAATGATACTTAATAATGATATTGTTAATGATTAATAAGGGCTATAATTTAGAGGCTCCTCTCTACTACCATTTTTATAGATTGGTACTACATGTTTACCTTTTCCCATATACAGTATCTGTTAAGATGCTTGTGTACAAGGATGTCTGGAAATATTAATTGGAGTGGAATTCTCAGCTCAGTTGCACATTCTTGCAGCACCCAAGGTAAAACTCCAGGTCCAACTGCTTTATTTCTTCCTATCCCCACGAGTAATTTTTTAACTTTATTTGGAGATACCTCTATGTATTCTATGGTGTGCTTTGAAGTTGGTATTTGGTCTGGCTTTCTGAAATCCTCATTTTGTACAAACTTTGGAACTGCTCATTGAGCATTTCACACATTTATTGTTATCATCACAATGATAACCAAAATCACCTCAAGATAACATTCCTTTTTCATTCTCAGTAGTCCTGTTCCCTGTTCTCAATCTCTTGATTTTATCTTTTACATGCAGCTTGCTTTTAATGAATTTATAGAAAAGGCCTGGATCCATTTTACATTTGTCCGCTATACCTTTTTCAAAGTTCCTCTCTGCCTCTCTTCTCACTGCTGCATAATTATTTCTTGCTTGCTCATATTGCTGGTATGTTTGCGGGTTAGGCCTCTTCCGATATCGAACCCATTTTCCCGTCTTATCCTCTCTGGCCCTTTCACAATTTGTTAAACCAATCCTATTTCCTGGTCCTGCGCATCTGTCTGTTTTGATTTGAATGTTTGTTCCTTCATTGTATATTTTGCAAAATTTGGCATACATCTCCATTTACTTCCTGGCCTAGCAACAAGTCTGTTTAATTAAACTCGTTAAAAAAAAATCTAAGCTCCCCATAGTGTCCTCTCTTGAAATTGAGTTTATACACAGTTTCATTGTCCCCATTATCTTCTAGATTATATCGCAAAGCATATTCAATTTCCAACAGGACATGATCACTTTTTCTCAAGGGTGGGAGGTACTGGTGTCAAATATCTCCTCTTTTCTGGTGAATATTAGATCCAGTATTGATGGAACATTCCCTTCCCTCATTCTTGTGGCCTGCTTGACGTGTTGATACTTCTTTAGCATGTCCTCAATAATCTCTCGTGGAGCTAACAAGATCTTGGTGAGAATTCTTTGAAACAATCGTCTGTTGATGTGTTTACCTTCCCCCATGGTGGCGGCCATCTTTGTTATTGACGATCGTTTGTTGTGGAAAATAAACTTTTCTAACTCGGAATTTTCACTCACTTTAACTTATTTCTTGTATCTAATTTACTTTTAAACTTCCATATACCTTTATGTAACCTGGGACACCATTTACAGCCCTCAACCTGTTCCCAATACTTAGGCAATTTGATATTCCTGCTGGCACTGCTGAACACACTGTGTGTGTTGTGTGCATGCTTTTTAGATAAGAGTTGTATATTCAAGTTTATGTAAATTTCACTAAGCTTAGTAAAATCTAATGCTGTACAAGAAAAAATAATGGACTGAAAGTATTGGATGAAGTAAAATAACTGAAGCTTCAGAAAATCATGCAACATATAATATTCAAAGAAAATAGCTTATCCATTGCTGAAACAATCTGTAAATGAACTCTTAAAAATATAGTGAATGAATGAACTGATGCTCTCTTCTAGGCAGTCCTTCAGTAGCTACTGGTGCTTAACCTTCAATTCTGGCATTGTTTTGGCAATCCTTTACTCAGAACTGGCAGTCCTTTTTTAATTAATTACTAATTACTGACAAAATTTCCAAATCAAACATTGAATACTGTGAAATGTTTTTTTCTGGGGCCACCCTTCACTCAAGCTCTTTGAGCCCGGCTCCAAATTGTAGCCCAACACACAACCAAGACTTGTCCATGGTCTACGGGAAACTAAGACTAGGATCTGGCTTGCCCTACAATGCTATGTAAGCAAATCGGAGAGCACCCACTAAACTGGGGAACATGCCACCAAAAAGCACTGGTGAAACAAACAAGTGAATGCTTGAATGAAACGAGGCACAACTAGATAAACAAGGCAAACTGTTGTTTCCACAAGATAAATACATGAGTAGTGATGTGGCAAACTGCCACCAAATGATACCCAGGGGTCTCAGAAGTCTGCTCCCTCTCACTGGAGCAAAGAAGAAAAAATGGGGGGGAGGAGGAAGCTTACGGGGAACAACCTGAAAGGGACATTTCCTCTTTCAGAGGAATATTACAGGAGGAATCCTCCTGTAGTTCCACAAACTTACTCACAATGGAGCTTTAATAAAGAGACTGGCTTTTCTAGAAAACAAAAAGATGGAATGTGTTTGCCTGTTGGACAACAATGGCAGAAGTGAATAATGGCCACATACTAAATGCCTAAGCAAATGTAAACACGACGAGACCAAAGGCCTTACAACAATGAATGAAAGGCCAATATGGGAATGCCTGCTAAAAACCCCAATCTCAAAAATCTTTAGTGGAGAAACCTATAAAGAAAGCATGAGAAACCTATAAAGAAAGCACCAAAGATGCAAACATCTACAGATTTTTAATTCAAAGACAAACATCTGGCTGGCTAAACCATACCACCATTGTGGAGGATTTAGCCTTGGAGCAAGAAATGTGAAAAATGGGGGAGGCAATATACAGAGCCCCAACTCCAACTAGGAGAAGACAAAACGATGATTTCAGCCAAATCCAACCAAGATGATACTTTAGGTTTGATGAGAAGAGAGAGGCCTCATAATACTAGCTGAAGATGGTTCTATAGCTGAAGGCTAGCATCAAGGGAAATGAGAGGACATCCTGGAGTCAAAGACCAATCTCATCCTGGTAATAACTGGGGTCAAATGAGACTTGCCAGTTAATTAGAAACCCCAACTAGGAAAGCTCCAGATCACTCATTAACTGATAGTTCTGACAAATTTGAGTCCAAACTAGCCAGTCATCGAGGTATGTCAGAGCTAGACACCCAGGGGACGTGTTCTTGGCTTGGTGCTAAGCGCACTAGTGAACTAGGTGAGCAGGTGGAACTCTTGGGTAACCCGAGCTCCCATCTGGTGGTTCACCAGGATACTTTTGTGGATAATCAGACAAACTTCCTGAGTGGGGCTTCGCAAGTCTGTCCGTTGGGGTCTTCTCCTTTTGAGGGGGTCTTGCCCTGGGTAGTGCTTGGCTTGGCTTATCGGCAGGGGCATAACTGGCTGCCATCTTGCAGTGTTCAAAGGAGAACTTGATAAACACTTTCAAAAGATACCTGATCAACCAGGTATCTGGTTGATCAGGAATCAGGTACCAATCAAGACTGTCTGCTGTAATTCATACATCTGGCTGCAAGCAACTGCATCGAAGAGCCTGGTTGACCAGACCAGTAACCAGTAGGCCTGGCCAGAGACTGGGCTGTGGGGACGTTAATCCTTGGAATCATAGATAGTTATGGTCTCAGCATAACTACTCTTCCATTTAAATTAACCCATTTCTTTACCACCCAAGTGGCAAAAAGTATTTATGCAAATTTTTCAATACCTTTGCTTTTGAGTTTAAATCTGTTCTTTTGTTCTCAGATTTTACAAATTGATCCATATCGATTTATTAAATTACTACATCACTTAAATTATGATGTGTATAAGTTACAAAACTTGTGCAGTAAAAATGTCTCGATACTTTTTTGCAGAATAAACCTCGAGAGAGTACCATACTGTAGATATATTATTTTCATATTTTATGAAAAATGTTTGTCTTGTTTTGTTTCCCAAAATGTTCTCTATTTTGTCCACAAAATTCTTAAAAAAAAAATCTATGCTGTTAAAACTGATGTGAGGTGTTGGGAAGTGCACTTTACTTTGTTAAGCTAGGAGTCGACCACAGTATACTGTATTTACTTGTGATTATGTAAATTCAAAGAATCAGCTTTCAGGACTATTATCCCATCTTATATTGCACCATGAACAATATATAAGCACCTCAGGTGTGAGCATTATAGTTCCACCTTATTTTATAAATCATGCTGTAAAGAAAAAAAATTAATCATAATTAAAGAAATTATTTGAAAGTAAATACTGTGCAGTACTGTAATCTGATTTCAAATTTAACTGAAGATTTATATTCACATGTAAATGAGAAAAATTATAAAATAAATATATATCAAATTGGCTTCCTGTATGTAAAAGATGAATTATTTTCATAACAAAGCCTATCATGTTGATCATTATTTTTATTATAGATGGACTGAACATAGTAAAAAAAAGTTCTAAAGTTAATAGACAAGCTCTAGACAAATTAAGACAAAACGTAAGTAGTTTTCTTGAGTAACTTTTTTTTTTTTTTAATTCAGGGCTTAGGGCCAGGCACTGAAACCAGATGGGCTACTCCATGGTTTTGCTAAAAAATGATCTGCCAAAATGGTTTACATTTAGGTTCTTAATTACTGTTGCGCACACAGGGACAAGCTGTGAAGGAACGGTGCTCATTCCTCCAACCTTGTCCAGGATTTTTCCCTGCATTGTTCTTGCCAACGAACCAAGTGGGTAAGGGCACCACAGGGTGCTATTGTATGACTGGAGGCAGCACTGTGTATTTAAGTGCAATTAACTCTTAAGTGGAAAGTTTTATATTTTATATTCATCACTTACCCAACAAATGGTAGTTGGATTCTCTTTCATACTTGAAAGTAAGGCGACCATATGATACATGGTTGAGATTCTTTAACCACTCGAAGTAGGAAACGGTTACACCGCCAGCATTAATGTACAAATCGGGGATGACAAGCACGTTCATTTCTTGAAGAAGACTGTCTGCAGCAGGTGTTGTAGGACCATTCGCAGCTTCAGCAATAATCTGCAATCATAATAATTATACAGTATATGGTTGTTTCACAAGGGTGATCCAGGAAGACATCCCATTTGAGAGCGTACTTAAAAGACCCATACTGTACTGTAAAAGTCAAGGAATCCGAATAAGTTTTAAAAGATATATTGTTATTTGAGAAGAGTCAAAAGTCATGCACTTGACACTGAATAATTATATATATAAAAAAAAATGTACCTTAGCTTGAATTTTGTGAGCATTTCCTTTATGGATGACCTTCTCTATGGCAGCAGGGATCAAGATATCGCACTTTTCAAAAAGAAGGTTTTCACCCTCATACTTCTGAGCTCCGGGAAATCCCATAATTGTTCCATGTTCAATCTTCCAGTTCTCAAGTTCCTAGAAATAAAAGTCAATACAGTATATATATCAAATCTGAGTACAGTATAACTATTAAAGTATATTTTTTTTCAGCAAATATTTTGAATTTGCAAGCCTTAATTTTAATACAAAAAAATGATGTCTCACCTTGGGGTCAATACCATTTGCATTGAAGATCTCCCCATCAATTTCCTTAATTCCAATGCAAGTAGCACCAGCACGATGGAGGTATCTCATCGAGTGCAGACCCACATTGCCAAAGCCCTAAAAAATGAAAGATAAACTTGAAGCTAGGCAAAATAAACAGCAAAAAAAAAAAAAGAAAAAATATAGTACAGAATGTTATTCTATGAGTATATATTTGGGTGTCATTCCATTACTGTCATGGCAAAAGTACAATTAGACAAGTGTAGTACACAAATAGGAAACAGTATTGGTCTAGTTCTTACTAAACCATCAGAGGGAGGCATCATTTTACACACGAATGCATTAAAGGACCAGGGAAAGAAAAAAATTGTAAATGCAATTGTAATGTAATGTAATTACATTACAATTGTAATTCCTAGTCAAATCTACAGGTAATTGAACTGGCATATCTCAGCATGTTAGGTACTGACATTGTAAAAATAGAGAACCATCTTACAAATGAACCAACTGCTGTTCCACTGACTGGATCAGCAATAGTTTACATAAATGCATCTGAATTAATACTATATAGAGTAATCAACCCTATATGTTACAAGAGTATTATTCTTGCTCTATTTAACAGCATATTTCTGTACTAACCTGCACAATGAATGTTTTGCCACCCCATCCAGGAGTAATGCCAATCATAGACATGTATGAAGCCTCATTAATGAAGTTCTCGAGACCGTGGAATACGCCACGTCCAGTAGCTGATGTGCGACCATGAATTCCACCTTGGTTGATTGGCTTACCGGTGACACACGCATGAGCATTGATGTCATCATGTCCTTTAATGAAGTATATGTTTAGCTCAAAATAACACTTAAGGATCATGAAAATATATCTTATTAAACTTATCTGCACAGTATTTACAAAACTTAAAATTAAGGGTAATTAAAGATGGATAATAAACTGTCACCAGAGAAGCCTATAAAATTATCCAAATTTCTTTAGTGCTTTTAAATTCATGGCTGGTGAAATACTGTCAAAGCACAGTACTGTAACTCAAATAAATTTTCCGTTATTGATTTTAAGTAAACTGCAAGATTAAGAAGAGAAATCATGAAAATGCATGGGTAAGTGGTGGGAGTTATGGTACCAAAAATTGACAAATGTTAATTTTAGACATTCCTGATAAGAAATTTGGCTAAGTTAAATGTCTGGCTAACTTTTATGGAGATTTATTTTATTTTTATTTTTTTTTATTTATACAAGAGTAATTACATTCTTGTACAGCCACTAGCACGCATAGCATTTCGGGCAAGTCCTTAATCCTATTTTTCACAAAAACATCCCCAGGAAGCAGCCCGTACCAGCTGTTTAATTCCCAGGTACCTATTCACTGCTAGGTGAACAGGTGTATCAGGATGAAAGAAACCCTGCCCATTTGTCAGCCTCTGCCGGGGACTGAACCCGGACCCCTTAGAACTATGAACCCTGAGCACTGTTCGCTCAGCGTCAGGCCCCTGATGAGCCCCATATGATTTGAATTTCCGAGTTTAGACAATATAGTGTTAAAGAAATTGTTCACAACATCTATGAGATTGCAATCAGAATATGCATTGACATGCTACTAAATGGCTTCCAGGCCTGTAAGGAGAGGATGGAGGCATTAAGTACTGTATACCAAACCTGCTAGGAAAAAGAAAAATGAGGCAATATAATTACCACATACAAAATTGTGGCAGGAATTGACAAAGTCGACAAAGAGAAATTTCTTAAACCTGTAACTTTAACAAGAGGACCTAGATTCAAGCAATGAAAACAATAGTTCCATGAAAAGGTATAAAGTTCTCTTTTGTGAAGTGGTGGACAGTTGGAATAATTTACCCAAGACATAATGGATACCAAAACCAGTGGAACAAAATGCCATATGATAAAGATTGGGGAACATGGGACACGACAGGCATAGATCTGTTCCTGTAGCTACACCCAAAAATACACACTAGGAGCTCCCTAATATAGCATAAACCCACTGCACAAATAAATCACTAAGTTTCTAAGGAAAACACAAGCCACATTAGGGAAGTTTTCCTCTCTGCCTGCCCATATAACCTGCTGCTAGGGGCCAGACAGATAAGAATGTGAACAGATTGGATTCAGAAGAGAGGGGGGGGGGGGGGGGGTTCAGTGTGGTGTTGGTGCTGCCACATGTTGCCAGTTGGAGTATATTGTTACCAGTTTTCCCAAAGAGTATCCTCTTGATAGAGCTTATACCCTTGACGGGGTCTACAAGGCAAGACGGATATATAAGGATGGTCATCCTCTCAACAGGATCATCATTGTTTGGAATGGCGGTGACCCTCCCCCTGAACATTACACCTTTTTTGGACATTTCATCCCATCAAGTCCTATAAAATCTTGGGTATCCCCCCCTGTTGTTTGTTATAAGTGCCATGGTACTCATCATATCTCTAGGTACTGTCAACATGACCCTGTGTGTGGGCTCTGTGCTGAACAGCACCAAACAAGGGAGTGTCCTCACAGGGACCCCCCTACCCTTGAGGATGGGGAGGAAGCCTCTCCTCTGGTCCGGAAGTGTCCCAGGTGTAAGCGTCAAGGTGTAGATGTTTGGCATCCTGGCTGCCCTCGACGCCCCGCCCTCTCTACCATGAGCAGGACGCCAGAGGCGTCTGGTCCAGCTGCAGGAGGCACCCAGCTGGAAGCTCCTAATGTCACCTCTAGTAAGCAGTTTCCAACCCTCGATGGGCTAAGGCAAACAAGCAAAGATACAGAAGAAATTAACTGGTTAAAAAATAAAATTATGGATTTGGAAGCTAAAATACAAACATTAGTGATGAATCTGCCCGGTGATAGTGAAGTGAATCATGCTAGCGATAGTGATCAAGTAAATTCTCCCAGCACCAGTAGTGATGCGAGTGGTAATGTTGCAGCTGCTGAGGCTACTTCACCTGTCTCTACGGAACGTGAGTGTCAAATCCCCATGGGGAATGGTGTTAGAGTAGTCATTGATCCCTCACTGGCACCCCAACTAGATCGTCAAGACACCCTTGATTTGCTTAAACATAAAGACTTTAGAACACCAACTCCTACTCAGGTTAAACGCCTCCTAAACAAAAGTACTCAGGACACACGGAACAAAATTACTTATGTTCTCCAATTGTTTTACGAACTTAAATGTTACCTTAATTCCCTTGACACTTAACCATGGCTCATCAAACAAAAACAATTAAGTTTCTTTCTTGGAATATTCGAAGTGTTTATCTTCGGATAAATGACGTAATCTTGTATGCTAAAATGAGAGACGTAGATGTGATCTGTTTACAGGAACCATATACGACCACAACTATCAAGAAGGTCCCACCTAGGATACCTGGGTATATAGCATACAACAACAGTATTGGAACTGGTTTACTAACGTATATTAAGAGTGGATTAATCTGTAAACTAATTAAAAATCATAGGAGTGATAGTATACATTATCAAAAATTCAAATTGCAAACTGCAAATAGCCATTTCCTACTGTATAACATATATGGACGATGTAATGTACTTAAAGCAGACCTGCTACCGAAACCTACAGGTAACACAGCTATGTTATGTATGGGTGACTTTAATGCTCGTCACACTGCTCTTGGTGACGTTCAGTGTAACAATAATGGAAGGGTCTTCTTGAAATACCTTAATGATCATAATATTACTGTGTATGATACTGATAAACAGACCCATTTATTGGGGGGTAGACTGGATTATGTGATTGGATACAGCCTAGTAGATAGCAACGTCAACGTTAAGCTCATCCCAGAACTAGTAAGTGATCATTTTGCAATATATTGTGAATACAATGTGGCGGATATTAGGTCCAATCCTCATCCTAGAGTTAAAATTAACATTCCAGACAATCTTAAACAGCACTTTAAGGCTTATGTACATAAGTGGTACACTGGGTATACACCTGTATCAGTGGACCACTTTTACAATGATCTTGTCAGTATCATTACCAGTTATTATGATACCTGGGTTAAATCAAGGAAAAAAAAGAACACTCGTTCTTCCTCATGGACAGAGGATCCTATTATTATTGCAGAGCGAGCTAAAGTGCTTCAGCTTGCTTATTCGTTTGCCTTGTTCGGGTAGAATGTAGACACAGTAGTCGCTTCTGTATCTATTTATTGACTGAGATTGCAAGGTATATATCTGCCTAGCCGAGGTCCTTCTACTCTGAGCCTGTGAGGATAACTGAGGCTGCTGGGAGCATCGCTGATGCTCCTCTGTCTGGCATGACGTCAGAGGCCTACTCGCCTGTGATTGGTTACATTTCAACTGACAGAATTTGAGTATAACATGCTGACTCTTATAAACGAGACAAAACAGCTGACAATTTACTTGCATTCCTTAATGCCAACAGAGATTTTCGCGAGCTTAAGGGTCAAGTTAAGAACACATATTGGGAACAATTCCTACAAGGTATCAATAGAACTACAACATTATCAGAAATGTGGAACAAAATTAAAAACATTACCAAACCTTCAGCCCCAGTTCAGCTTCATCATACTCCTGCAGAATATGCTGACATGCTCCTAGCTCAATGGTCTAGTGTCTCACAAATTTCTTCCTTACCCCCAGATATACAGCAGCATTTAAGACATACCAACATTAACAGAAACTTTAATATTGAAATAGCACGCTCCTCACCAGATTTAACGGATCAGTTTCCTATAACCCCCTTTGAATTAACATCAGCATTAGGAAAACCTAGGCAAACTGCCCCTGGTGAGGATGGTATAACTTATAACATCTTGAGCTTACTGAATGATGTCCCTAGCCACCCTCTGCTTGACCTCTATCAAATGAGTCTCTCACAAGGTATCTTGCCAAAGAAATGGACACAAAGTCTCATAATACCAATTCCTAAACCTAACTCTCAAAAATTCAGACCCATTTCCCTTACATCTTGCATGTGTAAAGTCTTGGAGAGAATTGTTCTCAATCGTGTCATGTTTCAGGTCAAAGAAAAACTGGCCCCAAACCTATATGGGTTCATGCCCAAGTGTAGCACACAAACATGCTTTGCTGAATACTTTGTAAACTCCCAGGATGGGACACAGGCAGCCTTTATTGACCTAAAGTCAGCTTTCGATGTAGCGAATGGCGAAATAATATTAGAGCAACTTGCTGAATTTGGAATCAAAGGTAATCTTCTGAGTTGGATAAAGAGCTACCTATCCAACAGGCGTGCTAGTGTCCTATTTAAAGGAGTTAAAAGTACAAGAACAGATGCATTCGAACTAGGCACACCTCAAGGCGGTGTCCTAAGCCCTATGCTCTTCAATATACTTATGCACAAACTTATCCATGACATACCTGTACAACCTACGGAAACAGTTATATGTTATGCTGATGACATTTGTATTATGGCACACAGTAAACCAAGGCTACAAATGTTACTTGATGCATTCTCCAAGAAAGTAGTAGAATGTGGCCTCATAATCTCTGTTGATAAAACAAGGGTTCTTATTCCCCATTCTCTTCATGCTAACTATACTATTAATGGAGTGCCCGTGGAGACTTGTGAGTCTTATAAATATCTTGGAGTCGAGGTTAATGATACAAATCTCATCAGCAACCTGCGTAAAAAACTTGTTGAGCGTCTTAAACCTCTCAGAACTCTTGTTGGCAAAGGATTTGGCATTAACATAAAATATGCTCGTAGTTTTTATATTGCCTTTATACGATCTGTTGTTGATTATTATGCCTTGCATCTTCTTAATTTTTCTCCTAAACAATTACAAGGCCTAGATGTAGTACAGAATGATGCCATGCGCATCATCCTGGGTTGTCCTAGAACTGTCAGAATTGTTAACATGAGAAAGGAACTAAACTTACCTTCCATTTACGAAAGAATAGTTCTACTTAGTACTATGTTTTGCGCCAAAACTTTGAAAAATAATGGTCCCCCCAGCTCTATTCAAATTAAATTGAGATCCATTCTAAACAATTCTGACTGTTCCCTCAATCCGCCGCAAAAAGCTCCCTACAGTGTGTGGCTCAGTTGTTGTGTCTATAATCTTCAGAAACTGAATGTATCTCTTAACCCTGATAAAACTGTTCACTATATTCCCCCTTGGAAAGATGTGGAGGTCTCTCTGCATTATACTCCCATCAGTGTAAAACAAATGTATAACACTGACATTTTGAGATGTATAACATTAGAAGCTATTGACAGTCATCTTCAAATTCTCAAACCGACTGAATCCTATGCCTTTACTGATGGCTCTGTGCAGTTAGGCACTGGTAGAACAGGTTGTGCATGTGCAGTGTATAAAGGGAATGAAATGATCATGACTAGTACACAGAGATTGAACAACTGGGCAAGCACGACACAGACCGAGCTATTGGGTATTTATCTAGCCACTGAATACCTTAAGCTCAATGGTGGTGGAGTTATTTTCTGTGACTCTAAAAGTGCTCTGCAGTCCTTAAATAACCCATCACAATGTATGTCGGAAGTAGCTTGTAATATTAAATGGAATGTAATTTTTGCCAATGATAATAATTCTTGTATAAAATTTGTGTGGATCCCATCCCATGTTGGAGTTGAAAAACATGACTTTGTAGATCAATTGGCCAATGAGGCTTGCAGGAAAGAAAACATTGATTATGATTTTGGACTATCTAATGCAGTTATTAGAAACATACAAATTAAAGAAATTAATTCAGATTTAGAAGAACTAAGAAATGCACAGAGACCTGAAAGCTGCAGTATTAAAAGTTATGACAAGTTCTGTAATAATAGGTATTTGTATGGTCAGCACAGTAACCGGACCAGGCAATGTGATGTAGTAATCGCGCGAATTCGCCTTGGCTATAGACACATCTGGCAGGTTAGTGAGGCTGAGCCACTACCAGAATATTCAGATTGTAAACTCTGTGATAAACCTTTAATGCATTCACTAGAACACTATATTGATGAATGTGAAACCGTAAAGGACTTTAGACCTCCTGGCCTATTGTACCACCAACTGTGTAACTATTTTATTGACTCAGGTGTTCTGGACGACATCCTAACAATTTACCCAAAATTTGCTTGTCCATTTTAAAGAATGAAGAACAATTTCTACTTATATTCTAAGCTGTATCACTTATGAACCCATCCCTGCACTTGTGTGGCAGTGCACAATAGAAAGTTGTTTTCACATATCCACACATTAAAACATTGATTGTAACCGTGATATATATGTGCTTCAGCCTACAGTTTAGGCCTATTGTCTTATGTATGACCCTCTGTCCTGCGTGACAGTGAATACTAGCATTAACCTCAATTTAATAAGACTATCAAAATCCTCAGATTAGGCAAAATTGTAATTAATTTTGTCAATAAAGATGTTAATAATAATAATAAGTTGGAGCTAATAACCTAGTGGGACATGGGCAGTAGTTAGCCAAGACACTACTCAGCAGTTGCTACAATACCTAGTCAATACCATTCCTTTCCCCCGTCCCATCCCAAATCCTTATCCCTTCTAAGGGCTACAGTCAGAATGGCTTTGCAGTTTCCCCTGATAATTCCCTTCCCCTCCCTAGTCATGCCTGCTAGTTCCTCACCATGAAGTCTATAGTCTTGCCACAGGCAGCAACTAAGAGAGCTCAGAAGCAGCATTAACACACATTAAATACTCAAAAACTACGCATCATAATTTGTAATCATCTTACTGAAAAATTTCTTCATTGCTGCAAATTTAAAAATATATAAAAAAAACACAAGGGTTAATTTAAAAATATTCTCACTATGTTCTTCATTGCAATAATACCATATCAAATTTGTTAATAAACAAGAAAAAATTACATTCAGTAATTAAAAGCCTATGAACACGAAGCATCCCATGGGAATGAAGCAAAGCACTCATGCTCTCAATATCAAAAACATCATGTCATGCAAAACAGTGAAAGTACCATACATCAAGCATGCAGCATATTAATACTATTAAGTGCATTTCAACTAGTCACTATAAAAAACTTACCTTGTTATGGCAGATTTAATAAACAAAACTGAAGAAAAGGCCAGTGTATCAATCAGTGAGTGTAAGGGGTACAAGTAATTATCAAAAGAAGGCACCGAGCCTGGAAGACTATAAAGCATGTAATGGTATGAACCAGGTTTAGGGCAATGTATCCATGCAAATTAAAGAAAAACAGTGTCACAGTATACAGTAAATTGATGACATTACATGGTGTTGCAAGATTCATGTTATGTTGATTAAGATCATTAATAAATTATTCATCAATATACTATATAGCTAAAATCATTTAAAATTTAAAATTATAATCAAATTTATGATTTAAACAATCACAAACCATATTTCTTTCATCAAATACTATCCTTCAGATTAAAAGGACCATGAGGATACTATAAAATACTTATAAGATCATTACTATGCAATGTAACTTAAACATCTTTCGCTAATACTGTATAGCTAACTCTCTTGGGAATTCTCCCAGGAACCAAAATGTTGTGGGGCTACTTCTTCAGACACACTGTCAAGTAAGAGCGTACATTCTCATTACAAACATTTCTTCAAAGCAAATACATCACTACAAACTATTTCCATTACAAAATTCTCACTACAGTGGGCAATCCACCCAGGGCCAAGCCAAAATGTCTTCACAAGGACCCCTTTTGTTTTCCTGGCCCGGGGTTTCTTGATTTGGCTTTTTATATTTTTAACTTTCAACCAAAACATCTGAAGATAACTGGCAAAAACATACATGCACACTAATCCTGATACTAAAAACTTTTAGTAACATATCACCAGACTATGAGGCAACAGATTAATAAATCCTGGCATTTGTCATGACCACGCCTCAGAACAACTAAATCCACCTGATCCTTTCTTATAATCAGGTGTGGCAACCCTGCAGGCACCTGTACAACTTATGTAGTCAGTCAACTCGCCAAATTCCATGACGTAAACACCAAATCTTACATTGCATTGATATTATCATTTCCTAAAACATATTCTGTTGATTTACATGTGTGCAGATAAAACATTTCCATGCATTACTCTACTAGTATGAACATTATTTTACAAACCTGGATACCAAAAGTTAATAATTTAATGTTACAGTATAATGTTTTCATTTCCCCAACAAAGTGAAATGTTATAACATCCATGAAAGGTATTTAAGAAATTTGTAAATGGCAAATATTCAGTGGGGCTTTAATAAAGAGGCTGAAAAGTATATACAGTATAGGTATAGTGTATGTATATTAATTTTTCTAAAGATTCATGCATAAACAAGACTGTACCAAAGAACTTTATGATCACGCAAAAAAGCGTATGTACTACTAGAGGTTTCTCACTAGCCAAGCACCACACTGTAGCAACAAAGGCAGGCTAGGGGAAGTGATAATCAAGTTGAGAATTCAACTTAAAAGAACATCCAATTTATTGATATTTTCAATGCAGTATTTTTCTTAAACGAGTACAATACATGATTTTTTTTTCTCTTCCATCAAGGATAACATTAAACAATGCAAATCATGCAAACAGCAAAAAGCAAAATTTGTGCACATTCAATTTTGAACGGGCAGGCAGTATAGATGTATTTGACTGCACTTAGTGCATTGACTTCCACTTTACCCGTCCAGGTTGCAGCGCAGCCTGATATCACTGCACTTAAAGGTGTTTATATGTCCTATATAGAGTGTTACTCTGAAATACTGCCTATAGAGGATCCTATAGAGGATCCATAGTATACTATTTTGACACTTTTCAAATGTATTAAATTTGTTTGGTTTGTACTGCAATTGTATGCTTTAAAGACGTGGAATAAGGTCAAGTTTGTATAACCTGATTACAGCCCAATCAAAAAATCCTAAAATTACTGTATGCAACTTGTTATATTATAGCAAAGGACAAAGTCCTTCAGTAAAATTTAAACATACCAATGGTGTTGGCATAGGTGTCAGCGATCCATGACATCTCTCGCTCACCCGTACCCATGTCGGGGGCTGGTACATCCACACCGGGGCCTGTGGAGTTCATTAGGCACTCCATGAAATTTGAGATCTTATACGATTTTTGTAACCACATCAACATTCCTCGTCCCATTGCACATGTTTTATGGCACAGTTTACCCTACTGCTACGGGGGTAAAATGTGCCAGTAAACCAAGACAACAGGGCTATAGGTTGTGGCAGTTACTTCACCACGGCCACCAAAATGAAGTCCTTCTGCATACAACCATCTTGGGCAGAGCTTGGGTTTGCAGTACGTAGCTTGTTTCTCCTTTAATTTTGAATACCTTCCCCTAACCTTTATTAATAAAGAGAACAAGTAAAGAATAGTGGCTAAATAGAGAGCAAAAATGCTGGTGCGATAGGGGATACATCTTACCAACAGTCCTGGCGTATGTATCAGCAATCCAAGACATCTCCCGTTCACCAGTGCCCATATCAGGGGCTGGCACATCCACACCCGGGCCTAGCAGCATGTATGATATATCCTTTAAATTATCATGTTTGAGTAATGAGGGCTAAGAGACAAATAAAAATGGAAAAAATGGAATGTATGCACAGAAATTGAGAAATTAAAACGTATAGAATGCTTGCTTTAGCTTTCTCATATTATTAAATCCTTGATCATTTGGAATCTACCATTCGGTAATTTTAGTCGTTCAATTACTAGTTTACAGCACTGGTAAGAGAAGAAATAAAGCTTATACAGGGGATACAAAAAATAAGTTATAATAAAGTGATAATGTTATACAAAACACTGACAAGGAAAAATAAGTATAAGAGTTTCAATCAGGGTAAAACATCTTGTGCTTTTAAGTAGAAAAAATAATGTTAGAATAAGAGGCTGTAATGTAATTTATGATTATTAGATTTGTTGATAATTTTGAATCATCATGGTTCAGATATATGTATTCACAACACTCTTTTCACACGGGATTTTGAAATGCAATACAAGATGTTGGCATATTAATGTAATAAACTTTAATTACCCCTCTCAACATTAATATTTCCATCTTTTTTTTTGTAAGGTTGTGGATGGAATTCATGTTAATGATACCAGTCTATAACTTAGTGTTTCATATCCCCTTTCTTGAATATTGGAACTACCATTTGCCTTTTTCCAGTAACTCTCCTGTCTTTTGTGTAATGTTCAACATAGCTTCTTTCAGCAACCATGGTGATATCTGGTTTGGTCCTATTGCTTTTGCTATATCCAGTTGTTTTTTATCTCTTCTACATTAACTTCAATTCTGTCAAGTGTTGTTTCTGGCTGTTTTTTGACACCTCCTTGGACACCAATCTGGTTCCAGATTGTAGACTTCCTGGAACCTCCTCTTGAGTTCTTTACACACTTCTTTGTCAGTCTTCAAAAGTATTCCTCCCTGTCCCTCCGCATTCTGATCACATTGTCTTGTACTGTTGTTCCCCTTCCATATATATGGCTATGCAATAGCTTAAGTTGCCTCTTTGTTTGTGCCACAATATCTTTTAAAACTGTTGCTCTTTTGCCATCCTGATTCTGGTGTACTCATTTCTAGGACCCTTTAGTGCCTTCTTATTTGCCTCGGTACCCAAATTCCAATATTTTTCCATGCCTTTTTTTGCTTTCTCCTTTTCATTCTGGCACTGTTGAGCCATGGGGTTTGCTGTCCTCTTTTCATCCACTACCCTCGAGATATATAAACTGTTCCATTGCTTTTTTCTATTTGTGTTCCATCACCTCAGGCTCTTTGATATGTTGCCAAAGGAAATGTTAGTCTGTGGTGTCACAAATCTTCTATGTTTCATCTCCCCAGTGAAGATACTTTGTTGACCAGTCTATTTCCCTGTGGTTAAAATCCCCCAAATATTAGAACCTTTGCTCTAGCTCTCCTTGCCCCTGTGGCTGCCTTTTTTAAATATCTTTAGGCATATTTTATTGAAATTACCAGAATCATCCCTTGCCTTTGTGGAGTTAATGGAGGGTTGTAAATAACACCTACCACTATCTTCACGGTCCTCACGTTCATGATACCTAGTATGAAATCCTGCTGGTTGGTTACCTCCCAAATCTCAGTCTCCTCACGGTTCTAATGTTGTTGCATCAGTCGAGCTACTCCTACACAACACCCACATTTATCCTTTTTCATACTATGTGGTATCCTCTTGGGAATATTGCATCCTCTATTACTTTCATCAGTATTTTCTCCTTAACTGTGATATGAGGATGCAGTTCTGAACACCCGTTCTTACAGCTCTATACATTTATTTGTAATGCTATCTTCATTTGTGTACCAAATTTTTATGCTATGCATTTCTATTAGGATGCTCAGTAGACAAGAGCAGAAGGGGTCTTACAAGTTATGACAATGAATTAAGGTCTTCTATTACTCACTCAATATTGTGTAACATTACAGAAGTGAAAGTGGATTACCCAATTCTATATGAGACAATTAGTTCCCTATTTTGAAACTATTTTATGTTACATGAATGTAGTAAGAAATGTCACAATGATAAATTTTTACTTTACACTTACAAGCCAGTGTCGAATAATGTTTCAATTAGAAAAACAATTTATAATCTCAATCCACACTGAAAGCTATAATTATAATTTCAATCCTTGTTGAAAACCATCAAAACTCAGCCCATTACCATTCTTTAATGTCCATCTTTACCCTTCAGCTATATAGCTTTTAGTGTACCTACGAAGTCATGAATTAATAGGCTACTACTCAACTTATCGGCAAAATCTAATTATACTAAAATTTACTAACATATTATATCATTACCATGGCTCGCTGTAAAAAAAAAAAAAAGCCGAAATAATAAATAATTACATAAAAAATTACGTTTCAAATAAACTATTTGGTGAAAGCTCCTAGGCTTAGTTACTACTACGAGTAACATTGCAGAAATACATAAATGCAAACTCTGAAAATATTAAATATAATATTAAAACTGATTTAGCAATGCAAATATCTTATGAACAATAACACAAGACAAAAATACATTAAACTTGAAATATTTGTTGTACCAGTCTTCATGCTGGGCTGAAAATCACAATGACGTGGCCACCTGTTTCTTCTCAAACTAAAAACCAAGTAATAAGTGTCAAGGAAAAATTCTGCACCTGTATGTAGTGACTGGAACGTTTCTGTTCCAGTCACAAGATTATTGCAATCACTTGAAACAGAAGGTAACATTCATCTTCCCATAGTGTGTCCACTATTTCCTGGAAAAAGAGTGCAATAAAAATATATTTGTTATATTATATATCAGCCTATCCTCCTGTTTAGATTGTACTTATTGTAACGATGTGGACCATCATGCATATGGTGACGTGATAGCCATTTAGAAAGTAGAATTTGGCATGTATTGAATTTGGACTAGTTGGAAAAGGTTTTGTAGTTATGTTGCTAATAAAACCTAACCAAACCTATCCATCTTACAAGCAAACTGAGGCCTTATATAACACATATATGTGCTATACTAGGCCTAAGAAAATTTAAGTTTGATTTTTAGCTTTATTTTTTTCGGACTCAATAAGCAAACAGTCCCAAATCGTCCTAATTAGTTCTTTTGCACAGTAATCGTTCCACTGGAGTGAGACCCGGTAAAATAAAAAATATATTTTTTTTTATTTCCCACTCATTTGGAACATTATACTGTATACAAATTCTAACCCTTAATGAAACTAAACACAGTATTTATAGTTTCATATTACTACACAAGTGAATTCATTCTAATATCAGACTGACCAATGAAGCCTTTCTTGGCCAGCTCTAAAGTGAAGCGACGGGTGATCTTCTCCAATTCATTGATGGTATATTCGCGAGGATCAATCTTAAGGCCAGCCTTTGCTCCTCCGAAAGGAACATCCACACAGGAACACTTGAATGTCATCAAAGCAGACAGAGCTTTAACCTCATCAGCACACACATCCAGCGAGTAACGGATACCTGTTGAACAAAAATTCATTTGAATGATATATGTACACAGTATAATGTATTTCTAAGCATATCTTTACTTTTACTTACCAGTAGTACATTAAGATGATTGGATGGATGATAGTGGTGGCAGCAGCAGTGGTGGCGATGGTGGATGAGGGTGGTGGTGGATGGTGGTGGATGATGGATGATGGTGGTGGTGGATGGTGGTGGATGATGGTGGTGGTGGATGATGGTGGCAGCAGTAATGGATAATGGTGGCGGTGGAGGCGGCATGGTGGATGATGGTGGCGGCAGTGGTGGATGATGATGATGGTGGTGGTGGTGGATGATGGTGGTGGTGGTGGATGATGGTGGTGGTGGTGGATGATGGTGGTGGTGGTGGTGGATGATGGTGGTGGTGGATGATGGTGGTGGTGGATGATGGTGGTGGTGGAGGGTGGTGGTGGTGGATGGTGGTGGTGGTGGATGATGGTGGTGGTGGATGATGGTGGTGGTGGATGGTGGTGGTGGTGGATGGTGGTGGTGGTGGATGATGGTGGTGGTGGATGATGGTGGTGGTGGATGATGGTGGTGGTGGATGATGGTGGTGGTGGATGGTGGTGGTGGATGGTGGTGGATGATGATGATGGTGGTGGTGGATGATGATGGTGGTGGTGGTGGATGATGATGGTGGTGGTGGATGATGATGGTGGTGGTGGATGATGATGGTGGTGGTGGATGATGATGATGGTGGCAGTAGTGGATAATGGTGGCGGTGGAGGCGGCAGTGGTGGATGGTGGTGGCGGCAGTGGTGGATGGTGGTGGCGGCAGTGGTGGTTGATGGTGGCGGTGGAGGCGGCAGTGGTGGATGATGGTGGCAGTGGTGGATGATGATAATGTCAAAGGGAATGGCAGCTTAGAGCAAAACTTTCAAATTCAATTTATCAGAATGCAGAAAAGTACAACCTAGAAGGCTACACCAAATAAGACTAGCGATACAGATAGACAAGTCACTATTAAGAATCTGTGCAATACCTTATCCCATGGGATGCCGGAGCCGCTTGTGTTCAGCAGTGCTGCAGTGATAAGTGTCATTGATAATCCTCCACTCGAGTTAAATATAGCTCTCTAACGAGTACAAACCCACCGCTCCTGCCTGCCCTTATTCCTCTCTACACTAAGGCTTATATCTCGCCGCGTCTGCCGCGGAAATCACAAAAGTCAACCCAGGCAATCAAATTCAATACATCAGTATCATCTTGCTAGCTGTCATCATCACTCGGGCTATTTTGGGGGCTATTTCTTGCTGATGAAGGTTAGAGAGAGAGTGATAAACTGTTGGTCATTATGAGCCCCCCGTCTTAAGGTTCCCAACATCAAGAAAACATTAAATTTTAAGTGTCATCTCCTAACTTACTAGAGGACCCAAAACAGAAAACGGGACAGTTCGTCACTTTCGCGAGCCACTTCCACTTTCTAGTAAAATATTTAGCCCTATGTAACGCATATGAGCGAAAAGCGACGTTCTTTGTAAGAGGACAGGTTGGATTATTAATGGTGCTGTCGGTGGACTGGAGGCAGCTGTATATTGGTGTTTCAAATGATGGTAATATTTCTCAAACATCCTCTCGTTAAATAAGACGTTTATCACTTGGAATTAGACTTTCTCTTAAATGGCTAACAATTATGTGGTTATATCCGGCTAATCCCCCCACATTACTAGGTTCCCGGCCATTTACCAATACCATGAACTGATTTTGGGATTTATTAAGTTTCTCACCAAAAGCTTGGAACGCATATCATGTTTATGTGGCTCCTGTGCACATGTGTGTGAGAGCTTGTACGACGATATATGGGTAGAAACAAATCATGCAGTACTACGAAGCTCATGGCACTGAACCTGGGACAGGTAAGTATATGGATTTGTGGGGAAAATGTAGTGTTCAGTAAGGCTGTCATCTTAAGGATGAAGTTTCACTCTTCAATGACCAAAAAGATCCACGTGTTTCACCTAGCAAGCAGTACAGCCTGCTTACAGCTCTATTGAGCATCTTGCGCGTTCTCTACAGCAGTCGCTACAAAACCTTGTACAACATGTAGCATAGGTTCACTTTCATCTTGAGTATGCACTAATTGGCGGGTTATGTTCCAGGGAAAACTAGCTAGGTAAGGCTTAAGATGAACTATTTAAAGGAAAAACTCGAATCTATTTACAAGTCAAAAGTCGCTTCTCCTGTATTCAATTGTGTAAAACGTAGAGAAAATAGAGAAAGAATGAAATAAGAGAAAAGTAAAAAAGATAGATAACCAAATCGAGTAAATATTTGATTGCATAACCAAACTTAAGAAAGTAGTAGTAGTAGTTAAGATCAAGGCAAACGAGTGACTAACAAGCTTAAAATGACGCCTCCAAGGAATGAAACCAACATTAAAGCTGAAGAGTGTAGGAGGTAGACGGCGCGCGCGCAGCCCACCGCTGCAGACACTGCCTAGACCGCAGACAGGTGCTGCAGGCGGGCGTGGCGCTGCGGGGAGGCACAGTGCGAACCTCGGTAGCACGTCTGCTGCCATAACCCCCACCCTTCCCTTCCTCTCAGAATGTTTGGTGATATGTTTATTGTTTGTGACGTGTCTATATGTATTAACACGATGTACTCAACGGGGTGAGAATAGCTGAGCTACCTCATCCCTTTGTGTGTATTTTACCTCAATAAACTTATTTCAATTTCCCTCAACTCTTTCCTTCAGCACTTTAAAGACGGGTTCGGTCTTACCAGTGGATCTGAGTTTGCTTAGATAACATCTGTTTGAAACACTGGACACTGGTAGGAAGTAGTTTTACATTTGCAGACGATGAGTCACAATAACGTGGCTGAAGTATGTTGACCAGACCACACACTAGAAGCTGAAGAGACGACGACGTTTCGGTCCGTCCTGGACCATTCTCAAGTCGATTGGGAATGGTCCATCCAGGACGGACCGAAACGTCGTCGTCCCTTCACCTTCTAGTGTGCGGTCTGGTCAACAGTTTTACATTTATTATGCACCCCCAGAACAAGAAGAGATTGCTATTTTTTAGCACAATAAATTCAAATAATCCAAGCTCATTTTAGAGTATTGACAACGAAACCTCACGGTGAAGTCAACAGACGTCAACTTATGATTTATGTAAATATGCCTACCAATGTATTTCTATATCATACATGGACATATGTCCACAATATATTATGATAATTAAGATACTGTAGTGAACAACACACAGTCAACATGTCAACAATAATTGTTATCAAATATAGACCATTATCAATGGGTAGGACGATAGATAACTAGTAGCAGAGGGAATGGGCGGATGAGGGTCAGCAACAAAGTGGGTGGAGGGAGAAGAGAAAGCCATCAGGAGATTGATTGATTGATAAAGATTAAACCATCCAAAAGGTGGCACGGGCATGAATAGCCCGTAAAGGAGAAAGCGTCGTCATTATGACTATATAGAACTTTGAAGGGATTTGAGAGGAGGGGGGGGATGGTGGCCAACCACTTGGATGGTCGGGGATTGAACGCCGACCTGAATGAAGCGAGACCGTTGCTCTACCGTCCAGCCCATGTGGTTGGAGGCAATGGCCGAATGGATGGAAAGTGGGGAAGCCTAGAGGATGGGGGGAGAGGGAGGGAGGTTAACCAAGAAGATATACGATGAGTCAGTTGAGTTTTGTGGGGAGATGGGGGAGAAGAATGGGTGGGATTCTGACCTGTAATAATTATTTATATTATATATACAAGGGTATCATCTCTAAATGAATTTGTGAGGCCCGTGGCTTAGCCTCCGAGAAGAGAATATAAGATACTCGAGGGAACCTTGTTCATATTAGTAACAACAGCATTTATAATTAATTAATTTATTTATTTATCCTTGATAAGGTGTTGTGAGCTGCTGATACTTGGCGAACTAGACGGAAATACCTTCCTACTGGTGGTTATCTTGAGATGATTTCGGGGCTTTAGTGTCCCCGCGGCCCGGTCCTCTACCAGGCCTCCACCCCCAGGAAGCAGCCCGTGACAGCTGACTAACACCCAGGTACCTATTTTACCTGCTAGGTAACAGGGGCATAGTGTGAAAGAAACTCTGCTCATTGTTTCTCGCCGGCACCCAGGACCACAGGATCACAAGTCCAGCGTGCTGTCCGCTCGGCCGACCGGCTCCCTTGGCCTGTTGTACCCACTCCCTCAGTACTTGGGTAACACAAGTTACACAACGTTATCACCTGTGTACTCTCTCTCTCTCTCATACCCCCTACCAGCCAACCACTGCTCCCCCCTCCTCTCCCTCACACACCCGCTAGCCAGTCCCCTCCTCTCCCTCACACACCCGCTAGCCAGTCCCCTCCTCTCCCTCGCACACCCGCGAGCCAGACCCTCCTCTCCCTCACACACCCGCGAGCCAGACCCCCCTCTCCCTCACACACCCGCGAGCCAGTCCCTCCTCTACCTCACACACCCGCGAGCCAGTCACCTCCTCTCCCTCACACACCCGCTAGCCAGTCACCACCTTTACCTCACACACCCGCGAGCCAGTCCCTCCTCTCCCTCACACACCCGCTAGCCAGTCACCTCCTCTCCCTCACACACCCGCTAGCCAGTCACCTCCTCTCCCTCACACACCCGCTAGCCAGTCACCTCCTCTCCCTCACACACCCGCTAGCCAGTCACCTCCTCTACCTCACACACCCGCTAGCCAGTCACCTCCTCTACCTCACACACCCGCTAGCCAGTCCCTCCTCTCCCTCACACACCCGCTAGCCAGTCACCTCCTCTCCCTCACACACCCGCTAGCCAGTCACCTCCTCTCCCTCACACACCCGCTAGCCAGTCACCTCCTCTACCTCACACACCCGCTTGCCAGTCCCTCCTCTCCCTCACACACCCGCTAGCCAGTCACCTCCTCTACCTCACACACCCGCTAGCCAGTCACCTCCTCTCCCTCACACACCCGCTAGCCAGTCACCTCCTCTCCCTCACACACCCGCTAGCC